GGGCAGCCACAGCGCCCCCCTGGGTTTCCGATCACTGTCAGTGGCAGGGGGCTTCTTCCTGGTTTCCCTTTCGCAGGAAGGGGAATTGTGCCTACATATGCAAATTAACCTCCATCTTGTTGGCAGTTAACTGCCATCTGAGTTGGCAGTTAATCTGCATATAGCCCTGATTAGCCAATGAAAAGGGTAGCGTCATACGCCAATTACCATTTTTCTCTTTTATCAGTGTAGACTAGCCCAAGTTCATATTTATAATGTCAAGTGTATGAGTCAAAATGAAGCCATACCCTAAGCTATAATCATATACAATAAAATCCTAGATGGCATTATGCCCTCGCGCGAAGTCACCACAAGATGGCCGCCCTCATGTTGTCACAGATGGCTGCCACAAGATGGCCAGCAGGGAAGGGCAGTTGGGTGATCGGACTGGCAGGGGAGGGCAGTTGGGGGGGGACCAGGCCTGTAGGGGAGAGCAGTTAGGGGCGACCAGGCCGGCAGGGTAGAACAGTTGGGAGGCCTGTAGGGGAGGGCAGTTAAGAGCAACCAGGCCTGCAGGGGAGGGCAGTTGGGGGCGATCAGGCCAGCAGGGGAGCGGTTAGGGGGTGATTAGGCTGGCAGGCAGAAGCAGTTCCAGCAATCAGACATCCCCTAAGGGGTCCCCTATTGGAGAGAGTGCAGGCTGGGCTGAGGCAAACCCCCAACCCCCATGCACACATTTCATGCACCGGGCCTCTAGTGCTCATGTAATCTAGTAAAGAATCCCACCTCACCCCCATTTGTTAACATAACAAAATGTCTCTGTGTTGATTTGGGGGCTATTGATGCAAAAATAGCAATGGGTAAAAATGATGACACTTCACCACAAATCAAGGCAGCAGTACCAAACTGTACTATTAGTCATCATCATCTTCACTACAATAATTTCACAGTAAAACAAACAAAAGTAAACCTGTTTCACTGAAATAATCAGACAAGAAGTGATGAGGCCCAGGTAAAGAGAACTGTGGGGAGTTTTAAAAATCCTATGAATGCCCTAGCCACTTTTGCTCAGTGGATAGAGCATTGGCCTGCCGACTGAAGGGTCCCGGGTTCGATTCCGGTGAAGGGCACATGCCTAGGTTGCTGGCTCAATCCCCAGTAGGGGGTGTGCAGGAGGCAGCCAATCGATTCTCTCTCATCACTGATGTTTCTATCTCTTTCTCCCTCTCCCTTCCTCTCTGAAATCAATATAAGTATATATTTTTTTAAAAACCACAAAAAACCCTATGATGTTAAATTATCAGTCAGGAATTAAGTAGCTCAACTGTAATAAATTATGAACACACTGTATTTTAACTTTCAAATATCTAGTACAGTTACTCTAAATTAGATCCAAGAGATGCAATTTGAATTACACTATGGAAAAACACACCTTTATAAAATGGAAAAGATATAGCTTTTTGTTGCAACACAACTATTTAATAAAAACAAAAAAATGCTTTCCTGACAATTATATAATTTGAGTACAAAAACAAGTCTTGAGCAAATCAACTGAAAATTTGATGACAAAAATAATTTTCTCAGAAATGTACTTATTTATTGGGTGAGTAGAAACCAGAAAAGAACAACAAAAAAACCTTATTTTCAACATGAAAATAAATTTATTCTAAACAGTCAGGTGCTCAAGAAATGTTTTCAACTTTAGGATCAATTCCTCCACATAAAAAAATTCTCCTCCAAAATACGTACTCAGATTTTTGCTGTTGTTAATCCTCACCTGAGGATATTTTTCCATTGATTTTTTTTAGAGAGAGTGGAAGGGAGGGGGAGAGACAAGAGAGAGAAAACCCCCCCATGTAGCCAGGATAGAGCCTGCAATCTGGTATATGAGAAAACACAGGTCTATTCAATAAGATTACTACAAAATTTATTAGAGTTTAAAAATAAAAGATATGTGTTTTCCTTTTCTGGTTATAGCAACCGTAGTCATTGTAAAAAAGTAGAATTTACAGAAAGAAACATAATAAAAAATGGTCCATAACCTGCCTAGCAATCAAGTACATCTTCATGTATTTTTCACTAACCTTTATTCTATTCTTTTTACTTCTTAAATTTGGCACCCTAGTTTAATATTCCTTAGTTCCTCCACCTTATGCATGGGACAGTCTCTCAAGACTTTTAATTTGCACCACATATGGTTGCACCATTACTGAACAGCTACCATTAAAAAAAAAAAAAAAAAAAAAAAAAATCTAGGGCCGAAACCGGTTTGGCTCAGGGGATAGAGTGTCGGCCTGCGGACTGAAAGGGCCCAGGTTCGATTCCAGTCAAGGGCATGTACCTAGGTTGCGGGCACATCCCCAGTAGGAGATGTGCAGGAGGCAGCTGAATTGATGTTTCTCTCTCATCGATGTTTCTAACTCTCTCTCTCCCTTCCTCTCTGTAAAAAATCAATAAAATATATTAAAAAAAAAAAATCTAGGGAGTGACAGCCCCCTTGGTCTCTGCCCTGTAAGTTACAACTTGAATAGCCATAATTTAACAAAAGATTCCTTGCTCAACACACAAACATTTCTGAGAGATCTGTGCATTGAAACATCCAAAGATGGGAGTGGGAGGGCCCAAGGGAGGAGGGAAGAGAAAAAGCTGAAATGACGCCTTGGAAACAGCCAGCAGCCCAAAGCTGGAACTCAGATCTCACTTTCCAGTCTTAGGAGAGGGAGGAATCAGGTTGCCTTCAGCCAGGAAGAGTAGAAAGATAGAGTGAGTAGAGAGATCAGTGAGTGTTTCCAGAGGAGTGTTCTGTAGGCCCTGTGCTGAACCCAGTGACCTGGGCAGAGAGAGCACAGAAGTGCCGCTCTGGTTGTCTGGTACCCACCATCTCCAGACAGATAAACAAAGCCACAGAGCCTGGGAGCCTCCCCTTGCCCTCTCAGAGCTAGTGAGTGACTGTGTGTGTTGTGTGTGTGTGCGGAGTTTGGGGGTGGGGGGTGAGACAGAAGAAGCTGTAGCCGGGAGTGTCAGGTTGCAGAGCACATTATTTGCAAACCTGAGAATTAAAGCCACAGAAACATTTTCCCCCTGAGAGACAGGTGGGGATAATCCCAGGGTGGAGATACAAAGGTGAGGCTGCTGAGGTCTGCCAGTCATCATCATGAGAGAATAAAGCCACAAAGGCAGTAGGCAGCGTGGGATCACTTTCACTTTTGCGGTGCCCTGAGACCCAGGAAGCCTGGTCACAGAAGAGATGCTCACTTTCCCACATAATACAGGGCATTTTCCTCCACCCCTACCACCCCGACAAAATTTGAGAAGCCAGATCACTGCAAAAGAAACTAAAAAGACTTTTGCTTCGTCACCACCTATTGGAAAACAAAAGCAGAACTTCTTATCAACCTATTACAGATGTGCCACTCTTTAAAAAAAGAAAAGAAAAAGAAAACACCTATTTCATTACCATAGATGTCTAGACAGAGAATACATCAAATACCATGGATAACCAAGGAAACAAGGCAGCTCAAAAAGAAAATAAAAAATCTTCAGAAAGTAAACTTAAAGACTTAAAAATATATGATTTAAATGGCAGAGAATTCAAGATTGCAGTTCTGAAACTCAGAGATGCAAGAAAACACAAATAGTTAAATGAACTCAGAAGTAAGATCAACAAACAAAATGAGTACTTTATCAGGTAAGAACTTTAGAATGAACTGGCAAGCTTAGGAAATAGAACTGACTAGATGGAGAAAAGAACTACTGATATGGAAGACATATCTAGAAATGAGGCAGATGAAGAGAAACTATCTGACTCCATCAGTAAGAATAATCCTATCTAATAAAGCGGGGATATGCAAATTGACCATCACAGTATAAC